AAAGCTGCAGAGGTTAGTTTTCCCGGCATTGGTTGGTTCGAGACAGGTCGCAATGAAGACGTAGAGCGGGAGAGGGGTCACGGTGAGCGGCGTCAAGTAGAGCGGGAAGGGGGGAGGGGGTTGTCTCAGATGTCGCAGTTGGCGACAGGGAGCGACGTAGGGGTAGATTATAAAGACGGCGTTGGGAAGTGGCCCCGCTTGTTTCATCATCCCGTTCGTAGAGGTTGAATTCACGACGCTCGTCCTGCTGACGCTTCCTACAGAAGCGTGAAATGTGGCCCCAATAGCCTCAGTAATGACAGATCGGACGAGGTGGTCGCAATGGTGGGTGAAAAGGCTGCATGGCTAGGCACACTCGGAGTCATCGAAGCCAGGGGGACAGGCATCTAGTGTGCAGACATCGGTTGTACGACGAGTGGTGAACCAGCGAGGACTTGTGCGTACGTCGGCTGGGGTCGAGGTAGCGGAGAGTCTCATAAGCTGGCCCGATCATGGATGCCAACTCCTTTTTGATGACGTCACGCTAAAGAGTGTTGGAGGGGGAGGTGGACTCGGGGTGACTGGGAGGCCGAAAGATTGCAGCTTTTCCCGTATAATCACCCGGATCATAGTACACAATGAGGGAGCAGTCGTGGTGGTGTTTTTAGGGCTGTCTGGTGGTATCCGCCGGGACTCAAGTTCCTCTAGGCGTTGGCACGTGACAACAACGTGAGCGACAATGGTCGGGTTTTGTATAACCAAAGCTTTTAACGCGACCATGCCGATCCCTTTCAATAGATGGCGAATCTTCTTTGATTCGGACATGAACGTGCTGAAACGGTGACAAAGAGCAAGCACATCCTCTATGTACGAAGTGTAAGACTCAAGTTGTTGCTTGCGAGCGTCCAGTGCCTTCTTCGCGAGGACTGAACGAACCTCCGGGGTGCCGAAGATTTGGCGAAGCTGTTTCTTGAAATGTGTCCAGTCCGTGATGTCCGTTTTATGATTGAAAAACCATGTTTTCGCTACGCCTGTCAGATAGAAAGAAACACGGTGAAGCTTGGCAGGATCATCCCAGTTGTTAGTGGAACTCGCTCGATTGAACTGGTCCAACCAATCCTCCACATCTTCCCCTTGAAGTCCGGCGAACGTGGCCGGATCACGCTGGTGCGCAGTGATAATCCACGATGGATAGGCTGTGGTATCCGGGGCCGCGGCGGTAGATGCAGGAGCGCCGGTTGGCTCGTCCTGAAGCATGTTACCGGACACCCAGCATAGACGATGACCGGAGCGGAGGTTCAAGAGGCAGAGTGGGCTGAGAGAAGACGGAAAATCGATGAGCACACTCCAACACTTGTAATGCAACGATGAAGGCAACCTTTATTAGGCCCTGAAGACACGATGAAGCGACCACATCTGAGGCACAGAACCCAGGCAAGCCAAGGTCCCACACCAGATGAAGACGACGACCACTCATGATGATAAACGTGTGTGAAGAAAGTATATGTGCCTAATGATGCCCAATATATATATATATATATATATATATATATATATATATATATATATATATATATATATATATATATATATATATATATGTGTGTGTGTGTGTGTGTGTAACCTCAGGATCAGTAGGAGCAGTATTCTTTTTTTCATAACTGAAGTACATATTCGAGAAACTTGGGCTAGTTCACGTAAAAAGCTCGCGCTTGGGAAACAACTGTGCCAACTAGATAAGGACAGGAATTGCACAACACCAACGAACCGCAGCGCTTGCGTTGTGAAATTCCTTTTTTCGTCGGCATCTCGTTAGCACTGTGTTTTGACTAGTATAATTGAAATGCCCGAGTAAAGAAAAACAAAGCAACAAATGACAAAGGGCAAAGTACATGTACCATTTACTTGTCTATTCCAGGCTCTTGCACTTAATATCAGAATGCGACTGCCGTGTTTTCCGTGTATGCTCTCTAGCAGACGGGTCCTCTGGAGTTCACACAAGATGATAGCTCATAAGCACCCGCAGCCAGACAATAAAAGGACTCGGTACTCCGAGCAGCTACGTGATGTAAGACATTTCTATTGTCCTGTCTTACGTCTCGCGTAGCAAGAGTGGTGCTGACGCTCTCTTCAGACAATGTACATTTGATTGTGTAAGAGGTTAGTGCACGTTCACCATAGAGGCCTCGTTCGGTGAAACGCGCTCCGCATATTATAAACATTTAGATGCGGAGACAATATCATGGGTGAGGTTATACCGGTTCGCGAGGCTTGTTCTCTGAGTCAGATCACTCGAGTGTATAGTAATTTCGTAAGTGCCCCAGATGTGCATAAAACACGCAAAAGTTGTCATGCTAGGAGGAAGAAATTTGTGTTTGCGGCCTTTTGTGTGTCACATGTAATGGAGGCGACAGCGACTTTCCTCCAGTGAATGTAAGTATATCCACTTCACCTTTTTTCTTTAAGAAACTCTCGCTCAACATCCCAATCTGTACTACTTTTCATTTTGTGTTTTTTATCTAGCTCAACTTGTTTAAAAAGGTGTGCTATCGGCTTTCGGAGAAAAACCACGGCCCCGGACGCGTGAATGTGGCACTAACTCCCCATGAAAAGTCCTTGCAGTTTTTAAACGAGAAGCCTCGGGCCAGTTCTGTCTTTTTATTTTCTTTTGCGGAAATTGGGTGGGAGGTTGTACACCCAGATGAATGTTCATCCACCATTTTTTAATGTAAATAGAACATCAATGGATATCGATGGATCAATTTCGGCTATGACTTCCTCTCGAGAACAAGCTTACATGTCCAGGAATGCATTGCTCACGTGGCGAAAAGCCAGCCTGATATTTTAAAAAAGAGCACATTGAACCACCGTCTATTGTAATGCCACTGACGAAACTGAACGATTGCCTCCACCCCCCAACTGCGTGTGCACAGTTTTAACCAGTTGAACATAAAGCGGCATTTCAAAGCTCCTTCCAAGAGCTCGAAAAAATAACCATGTGTCCCCGTCTCCCCCTGCCCTACTCGCGCCCATTTTCACGATGGTGTCATATTTACGACTACAATTCAAACAAAGGCCACGTTCTGTGTGCAAGTGATGATGGCAGAGTGTCTGTTGCGTAAGGTTCACGTCATCTCCAAAGCGCGCGAAAAAGAGTGCAAGGGGTTCTATCGGGAAGATAAAAGTGTAGCTATTGGCGTTTCTTGTATTCCATCGCCCAGGGAGTCATTGCCACAAAGAGTGACTTGCATAAGCATCGTGTTGGAGGAGGCTGCGAATGAAGTACGGTGCAGCTATAGGGGTTCAACACCCACATAAACAACATGCCATCCAGTGTTGTGTGCAAAAAACAACAATAACAATAACACGTGATGCCGCTGCTGAATTGCTACTGAGTTTAACTGGAATACGGCGTTCGTACTATGAAAAATATATGCAGATTTGTATGAAAGCTGTTCCTCTTGTACTAGCCATTCATAAAAAAAGAACACTATCAAATCTGTCTGAAAAAAACCATTATGCGCAAAAATACGGTTGATGTACTACACAGGTGTTGAAGGGTTGACAAGTTGGTTCGTCTTAATTTAACTGGCATAGCGCACTGTGGTAAAGCCGAGCAGACCCGTAAGAGAGGACAGAGTGCTCTGTCCTCTTGCGTCGGTCTGCTCGGCCATTTCTTCTTTATCATGATGTGCTATAACAGTTCAAGTATGGTTGATGTACGTAATTTCATAGAAGTGCCACAAAAATCAGATTTTGTTCTTTCTATTTGAAGATAAGTTGTAAGATTCTGCTGAATTTCTTGAAGTAGTAGAAAAAAAGAAGTGTGGCATAATCCGACTAACGGTGACGGCCGATGTTAATGCGATTAGCATTCAACGAACGTAGCGACAAGCCCTGTCTTCGAAGGCACCTTTATTTGCACTCTTTAGTGGGGAAATCAGACAAGTAGTGCTAATTGCATTAATGCGCGTATGTACTGCCGCAGACCACAGCCACGTACACTAACCGCTCTGCCCTGAGTGCCGCGGCCACTGTTAAGGAAAACCGAGATAGAACTTTGTGGACTTGAACGCGATGCAAATAATATATATGAGAAATATCATTCAGGAAAATGAAAGCGGAACGGGTCTTGTTTTATTTCGAGTTACAGCGGAACTCGTGAAAGCACGCACCCTGGTACATAACATGAAAGGAACGTGACAATGAACCCTCTTTCGATCGAGATGAAGGGTATCTGTTTTAAAGAAGCAATCACAGGCACCATTAATGTTGGAAGGAGGAGCAAACGTGACGTATTTGTTGGTAGCGCTAACAGCTTTTAATGTAGGACATCGAGTCTAGTATATAAGAAATATATAACTTACAGTAAACACAAGTATATACATTGATTGATTTGTGGGGTTTAACGTCCCAAAACCACCATATGATTATGAGAGACGCCGTAGTAGAGGGCTCCGGAAATTTTGACCACCTGGGGTTCTTTAACGTGCACCCAAATCTGAGCACACGGGCCTCGACATTTCCGCCTCCATCGGAAATGCAGCCGCCGCAGCCGGGATTTGAACCCGCGACCTGCGGGTCAGCAGCCGAGTACCTTAGCCACTAGACCACCGCGGCGGGACAAGTATATACATTGGTCGCTAGATATTGTACATGTTTCTTTCCTCTAGAGTGCGCTTGGACAGCAATGCTTGGCAGCGATGGCCACATTTTGATGTCGTGATAGTAAAAAAGTTTTATTTCCTGTAAACGCATCTTGCTAGTAGCCATTACAAAAAAATGGCAGGGGAAGTGGTTCTAGAACGTAGGCACGGTTATTCAACGGGTAGTGCAGAACGGGTAGCGTACAACGTCCTTCAATACTTGAAAGACTCTGGTACAACTAAAAGCGTGGAACTGGTGGCGTATACTTAAATAATCAAAAGTTGCAGTGTTTCTAAGAATTACCAACAATACCTTTTTTTTTTACTTTTACAATAGCCGTGTCAAGGCACAAGAGAAGAATGTCGTAGACTTACAAAAGACGTTCATGGCCCATTTGTCGAAAGGCGCTGGCGCCGATGGGGGGAGTACGGGGTTCCGGGCCACGCACCGCAGTTCCTGACCATGGTCGTCCGCCGAAGGCGTGAAGCTCACCACCGAAGTTGAGACGTTGCCGTCGGCCGACGCGTGGCCGAAGCTCTGAGAGAGCTGCACGCCACGTTTCCACCAGGTAAGCTGCGCCGGGGGCCGGGAGCCTCGCGCCTCGCAGACCAGCTCGACAGGCAGGCCGGCAGTGAGCGCGCCGCCCGACGCACGCAATATTCGTACTGTCAGGGGTGCCACTGCACGCACAAACGAAAGATGAAAGAGAGGAGCAGTGTGAGTGGCTACTGCATGAAGCTCCCCACTTCGCGTCATGCAGCAACGATGGGCAATAATTATAACGCCTCTCATATGAGTGGTAGCAAAATGCGAGATGTTATTTTTTGTCAGTTCCCCCACCACTAGGGAAATCCTCAAGACAACTTCGAATGATCACCTTCTGGTAGTGTGGCGCCGAAACTAAGACCGTTGAACGCGGCCTTTTCTTTATATGTCTATTTACAAATCTCGCAGGAAGATTGTTATTATATCTTGTTATAATTGTTTGACAAACACTTTCTAGTGACCCGCCACCTCAGTTGACGAAAAGTTAGGTGAGTAGCTTACCTTCGGTCCCACCAATTTTTTCTCTATTTTTTAAAAATATTTTTCAAACACGTCGAAGATTGTTATTATATCTTGTTATAATTGTTTGACAAACACCTTCTAGTGACCCGCCACCTCAGCTGACGAAAAGTTAGGTGAGTAGCTTACCTTCGGTCCCACCAATTTTTTCTCTATTTTTTAAAAACATTTTTCAAACACGTCGGGTCGTTATAAGCCTACTCTTATAATTAGCTCTGCTTATTCGGTGTAGAACACAAAAGGACGAACTTTATTGAGATACATAAAGCTATTTCTGGTGTTAATTAAATTACATAATTGCGTGGCTTTCTCTTTATGCAACAGAAAAAAGGTGCCACTTTTTTGGGAGTGTATTCTCTGATTGATTTGTGGTGTTTAACGTCCCAAAACCACCATATGATTATGAGAGACGCCGTAGTGGAGGGCTCCGGAAATTTTGACCACCTGGGGTTCTTTAACGTGCACCCAAATCTGAGCACACGAGCCTACAACATTTCCGGCTCCATCGGAAGTGCAGCCGCCGCAGCCGGGATTCTATCCCGCGACCTAGGGGGGGTGTATTCTCTCAATTTAAGACTGAGGAGGTGAAAAAGTTGCTTCGTAAATTTATAAATAGCAGCAGTAATATTTACGCTGTGCCCAGTGACGTTTCATCTTCACTAAGACTACAGGCGCACGTAATGTGAAACGACATATTGCCGCTAAAGGTTGGCGCTGAACCTATGACTTCAAGGCAATAGCGAATAGAAAAAACTTATGAGGGTTCTTTATGCGACTGCAGTCAAGCTTCAATGAAGCTACTCCACTCGAGTGCTCATTATGTCTGTGGACATGCTCTACGACTTCTTAAAGGTTAAAAGAATGAGACTTAAATATTATTTAGCTGAAAGTTTTCCCTCGCAACGCAGCTTCTGCTCTGCTGGGTATACGTGTGCCCAGTACGAGACATGCAGATGCAGCATGAGCTATACAGGAAAGGCATTACGTAAGCTATATGATTAGATTAGAGTATGAAGATGCAGAATGTTGTTTAAAACAAAAATGAGAGAGCCTCTACAATGCCTGTTTAGTAAAAGGAGAAAAAATAAAATATTCAGAACTGTTTAACTTTAAACTAACCACACGTTTGATGATATGCAAATTAATTTTTTCATTGAAGGCCTATGTAAGTGTTTTTAAAGGAGAGTTTTAATAGCAGCCGAATGAATTTTGCATGAAGCTCAAGAATTTATATTTGCCCTCTTTTGCGTCCTGCTCAAAAAAGGGGAAATTGGTCGGCTAATCGCTACGGGCTCTCTAATATGTTACAGAACAACACCGGTGCTCTAACTGATAGTAAAAAAGTGCCAACTACTGCATGGCATAAGCAAGTCTTGGAACGGCTACCGTAACGGCTACCGCGGTGGTCTAGTGGCTAAGGTACACTGCTGCTGACTCGCAGGTCATGGGATTGAATCCCGGCTGCGGCGGCTGCATTTTCGATGGAGGCGGAAACGTTGTAGGCTCGTGTGCTCAGATTTGGGCGCACGTTCAAGAACCCCAGGTGGTCGAAATTTTTGGAGCCCTCCGCTACAGCATCTCTCATAATCATATGGTCGTTTGGGGACGTTAAACCCCACATATCAATCAATCAATCAATCAATCAATCAATCAATCAATCAATCAATCAATCAATCAATCAAATATGTCATCAATTGATATACCCTACAACCAGCCTAACCTCATTTGTGGCATCGTACTGTGGCAGTTTTGGCAAAGTACAAAATGCACAACTTGTACATATATGCGATCTTTAGATAAGCGTTTTCGTGATCAAGTAACGACACCCTCATTAAATTATTGGTGATTCTACGGCGTTCCTTGTCAGCAGATAAGGAAACTTTCTCCGTTATTTGGTGGCCAGACATGATAAACTTGTTGCTGGGATAGTTGGTACACAACTTCGAGGGCAAATTTTAGACGCCTAACAACTACCGGGAAAACGAAGAAGCACAGGCAAATAGCGTGCTTCCTGTAATTTTTGTGTGCTTCGTAATTCTTCCGATGGTTGTTACGCGTCTAAAATTTTCCATTAATGGCCAAGCATCTGTGAACAGAGGAACTATCTCGTGTTTATTTATACCACTGAGAGTGTAACTGAGTAATAATTGGGAAAACAAGGATATCTTTTCTAATACTATAGTTTCCCATACAGGATACCTTCCTGGAGTAAGAAAGCTTCAGAGTCAGCATTGCCGCCAGTATTTGTGGCGCCACAAGCACTGGCGGCCGAGCAATATGCGGTGTCAACTTAAGGCTTTTCTCTAACCCGAGAATCTTCGTCAGCGTACGTGTACGTTGACGACGAAACATGTACTTTAGAATTATCAGTTCACATCAAAGACAACAAAAACAATGAAATTATGAAACAATAGAAAACCCTAATCAGGCCAGCCTGAAGACGCATTTCATAATCATTTTGGTGTCTTACGTGTCCCTTATTTGTTGGCAAAGCACTTGGACCAGTGCTTCCCTCTTATAATTTCAAGCTGTGAAAGCTCGCACGCAGCAGCACAGTGCTATCAGGGACGCCTACGTATACACCAAGCTCGGAACATGTGCAGTTTGTTTCCTGGTTATTTTATTATCAGAAGCATCGCGTCATCAATGAGGAGCTCTTGGTGACGCGGTGTGCAAAATTATAGAATAGTCTCGCTTACACATCAGCCACGTCTACTGTTTTTGTATGTGGGCGTTGGTGACAGCATAGAGCGGCGCGCGCTACCTTTTTCACGCTATTGTACACACAATTTTGAAACAAATTTGGACTATTATGTCAAACTAGCTGAAAGTAACGCATACTATCATGTTCTAGATCCCTATTTGCGCCAAAAATCTTGATTTAAGCTAAGTACCAATTCGCCCTAAGTTACACTCTGCTAAAGAATATTATGGATATAGCTCGATCAGCCCAGTGTGCCCACGTTGATTGTATATCATAGTTGTCAATCCGACCTGTGAAAAGCACACTGGGGTACTTTTCGAAGCGGGTCTATCAGCTGTGACTGCTTGAATAAAATTATTTCAAAATACCTATTCCAGATTTTAAAAGGCCACGTGACTGAAACGAAGATATGATGAACTAAGGCATTGCCGGGCTGCGTTAAAAAAATTACCCACACCACGGAGCAATACAGACAAAATAGATTGATTGAGATGTGGGGTTTAACGTCCCAAAACCACCATATGATTATGAGAGATGCCGTAGTGGAGGGCTCCGGAAATTTTGACCACCTGGGGTTATTTAACGTGCACCCAAATCTGAGCACACGGGCCTACAACATTTCCGCCTCCATCGGAAATGCAGCCGCCGCAGCCGGGATTCAAACCCGCGACCTGCGGGTCAGCAGCTGAGTACCTTAGCCACTAGACCACCGCGGCGGGGCTACAGACAAAAATAGTTTTATATACTTACGGAGCATATCGAGTCGCACTGTGGTGCGCACCGGTGCTGCAAGACCATTGTCCACCTCGCAGACAAGCTGGATGAGCAGATCTGCGCGAGAGAGTGGGCCCTGGCGCAACTTGCTTAGCACCTGCACTGATGCGTCATCCAGCGCTGACGACACCGTAGTGACAGCGCTTCCAGGCACCGGCTCTTCGTCATCGTCGCTCAACGGCCGCCGTGGCCGACGAAGCCAGCGCACTTGGGGAGCCGGCCTGCCTGCTGCAAGAAGACAACGCCAGAACGACCGGTCAGCTTGCTTTGCCGTCTATCTTGACTGGTAAAATGACGACAGCCGCTGTTTTGCAGTATTAATTTATACAGAATGCCCCCGCTATCTTTAGCCAGAGTTTAAAAATATGCACACGGAATGACGACGCGATCAAATGCATGTGGCGGACTGTTGCATGAGTGAGTCAGACTATTTTTGTGTTTTGATTACTTGCCTAATTAGGTGACTTTTATCAACTAACTGTCTAAGCAACTACAATGGGCCGGACATTCCAATGAGGAAGTTGTTCATCAGTTCGTGAAGCGTCCGATTATACAGTTCCGAGACCTGGTGTACCTCTGTGGTAAAATGCTTCATTGCCACGCAGAATGCTTGGGTTCAATTCCAGCTGGGACCCTCACATTTATTCTATGCATTCGTCACGTCGACGCTACCAATGTTGTGTATTTCTTAACGCTGGCACGCTAAAATTGCCCATGTGTGTTATCGCATACCAGCGGCACATACCCGCCCGTGAGTATGTGCCTCTGTCTGGCGGGAAGTGTTTGACGACGTACGCGTTGGGATTGTGACATTATTCATGTCTTGAACAGCGCGTCATATTCGTGAAACCATATTACCCTCCTATGCTAATTTTGATTCACGCCAAGTTAAGCGAGTGACTATGAGAGGACCCAAACCAAACGTAAACGTTGTCTCCCGCACATTACTCTGCATTGATGGAGCGTGAGACACAAGAGAAATCGAAACATTTAGATGCGAATGCGTTTCTTAGTCGGGGCTATGTCAGGCGTCTGTCGGAATCCACCCACCGCCCTCTCCCATAGCAACAGCTGCGGGCGAGCGCGCCTATCCTCGCCCCTAGCAACCGGAGCATGTAGTGCTAAAGAAGGTAGAAGAGGGTAAGTGCAGTGCTTCACCGCTCCTTCTATCGCCTTCACTCTCTCTCCTCCCTGCGCCCCACTTTCTCGTCCGCTCGCGCCTCACTCTCGACCGTTCGCTGGCTGAGCGCCTCTCAAGAACAACCGGAAATGTGTGTTCCAGACGCCGCTTTGAAGCGCCTACGCCGATTCGGGAACGCTGCTTGTTTTGTTCACTTCATAGTACTTTTTAACCATGCACGCTAGCTACCAGAGCTGAACGCGACAGAAAAACACCACATGTGGTGAACGGCGCTATTGGCTGCACGGTGTAAGAAAAAACCAGAAAACAATAATATTCTAACGCTGGGTTCTCACGTGCTAAATGCCTTTATGGACGCTACGCAATGCGTTCGAATTTCCTCACGATTCCCTTCGGGGAGGTTGAGGCATTTTTTTATCCTACTGCTGGGCACGAACCTCTTTTTCTCGCTAACAGTCTTCCTAGAAAGTTTTGTTGAAACATTGCTGGTAGTCTCTAAAGAAGCTCGGAACGATTCCAGTGCTGAACTCATTTATATCACAGAACTACCCCAGAAAATGTTTTACTACCTAAATGAGAGAGAACCGTTTCGTTTCTGCATAACCGAAACTGGAGCGTATGACTGCTTATATAAGGAGCAATTACAACAAAGCGTCTGAAAGAAATAACTAACTTTTAAGACGCATGCAATACACGGAGAAGAGCTATGGATCGAATATTATGAAAAAATGGTTCAGGTGAAATAACGTTGTCGTAACCGTGTTTCAGAAAGTAGGAAGTAAAAACACTGTGACACCGCGTAAAGCAACGAGGGACAACGCCATCAGCGTTCTTAAAATCAAAGCTGTGGCCGTAGAACAAACGTAAATATTAGAAAGACCTAGATCTAAGTATAGGCGGCGAACAACTTCACGGCTTCTTTACTATCACGACAAGGTAAGCGTTGTGATGAAATGTTACAAAGCGAAGTGCACCACTATATACAAGCAAAAATTTCCTATTCGACTTTTTAAACTATTGAGCTATGACAAAGCAAATAAAAAGACAAAAATAAATAAATGTTGAAAAAAAACTGATCTTGAATTAGGACTAAGTTAGAAGATGCAGCGGATTTTCGTGCTAGAATGAAGTCAAGCGCAATTCGGTCTCACGTCAACTCGGGAGCAGATGTCGTGGCGAAACCGGAAATGCTAATCTGTTAACTTGAGGCCCCTTCCCGATTCTTCCCGGCAGCTTGCCGAACATTCATCTTTTAATAGATACGCGGCGAGTGTTGAGATAACTTATATACAATCTTCAAAAGCCTTTAAATGGATGCATTGCTTCCACGGAGGGGGGGGGGGGGAACTGAGTTGTGTTATACTGAGCTGTGCACTTATTTTTCTGTGAAACTGTACATATCTCTTTGAATTTACAGTACTAACTATATTTTATGCAGCCATTGCTGAGATAACCATCTCCATTTGTTCAAACACATTTTAGTACCGTTTCATTAGTTATAGGATCACATGCATAATGTTATTCCCAATCTTATTCGCATTGGGTGGTCTGAACTGTATCGTTCAACTTGCAATATTTGTTGTGCTTCTGTTGATCCTGCATGGACTTCGTGGCCGCAGTATGCATTGAAGGAATAAATAAATAAATAAATAAATAAATAAATAAATAAATAAATAAATAAATAAATAAATAAATAAATATCTCATATAATACTTGGCCAATCAGCCTTCCTGTGCGATTTACCTGCTTTGATTGCTGATGATGTTGGTTGACAGTACCCTTAAATAGACTTAAAACGGACAACAGATATATGCCCCAGACATCCTCAATCTCTTCCCGCGTAAAACAATGACCTTCAACGAAGTATATTTTTACGCAGCCCGAAGGAGCGAGTGCGCTGAAGAAACCACACGATAATATCGTAAAAATAGCCATGCCAATTACATTTTCTGTGTTTATTTTATGTTGCCTGTCGGCTCTTTCGAAATAGTGACGTTCTGAGTGTTCACACTAAATGAACAATTGCAGCACGTTGCCGTCGCTTCTCGCTTGCAGACACTGAATTATTTACCAATAAATACTTTTGCACACTCTTTCCTTGTCCAGGCTCTAGAATAAGTGAGGGCGCTTGCTAAGTTTCGACAAACCACGTTTAAGCATGCTCCGCGATGCATTATAGAACAGATAGTCGTGTTTGCACGGAAGCCATCAGCAACACGTATAACGCTGGTTAGTCGTTAAAGTAGAAGTTGCAATGTTCGGGCCAGCGAGTCGCAAAGGCTAGGGCAGAGATTAACATTGATACTGATATCCGCGGCACTTCAATACTAGTGCGTCACACGTGCAAGCGTACGGTGTGGCTGGTACATGAGTGGTATGTACCGATAAAAGCTAAGTGTTGTAAATTATACAGTCGACCATCGCAATTCTCAAGTACTACCCAAAAGCAGCTGTCCTGTGGCAGGACCAGTCTTTTGTGAGACCAGTGTGGACACGTCCACTTTTGCCACAATTATGGGGCACGCATGTTGCAGATATTATCCGTATATATAGTGCACCCGACTGAGGCTATTATATCACGAATTCATGCGCAACGCAAACGCCTTTCTGTGCTTCATGTTAGCTGCATTGTTTTGGGTAAATAATTTTTCTTGCAATCATTTATGATACATTACCTCTTTGGTACGATAATATATAGGTATTTTTTTTCATTCGTATACGTTACACCTTCCTCTCGGTAGGAAAAAAAAAACTTGATTCTTTAATTACAACGACGTCTGGTGCTTCTTGCATTAGTGCTTACTAAGGTTACTAACGCTGTAACTAAAACTAGATTTGACTGCTTGAAAACCAGTACACTAGTCTGATAAGAATGGTAAATGTGCCTATACTATGTAGTTTTGCAAGCAGGCCGTGTGCAGTGCGTCGCCCTGGCATGAGAAAATTCACGGAGGTCTGATTGTCTGAAAGGTTCGTTCCAACCGTATCTAAAGAACTGTTCCCTTTCCACATTTACCCTCAGAAAGCCTGGAACTGAAGGTGGGTCATTAAGAAAAGCGCGTCTTCATGAGATTTTCGAGGTTGTACAAGCTTAAAAAAATGCTTAAACTATGTTATTTTACTTGCGAAAAAAAAAAGAACACAGAATGATTATGAACAGGCAGTATTGGAGGATTAATATCGACCACCCGATGTTCTTTAACGTGCACCTACAGCGAGGTTGGACGTGATCGCCCCCTATTTATGTCCACTAAATGACGTGACCAGAGCCGTAATCAAGCCAGCCCCCTCGTGCTCAGCAGTGCGCCTGAATCACTCAGCCACAATACGGACTTAGCGGCTTGAGGTCATCAATTTCGATAGGTATCGCAACGTAAGTTATTAAGCTATTAAGCAAATGGCCACAAATAATAAAATCCTAGCACTTATAGACACCTGCCGCACGTGCCAGCGCACTTTTGAAGAAATTTCATTGAATTATATTTATCGTTTATGAAAATTATCTTAGTGCTAGGCGCATCAAGGCTACATATAGAAGACTGCATGATGAACACTCTTTGTTGCATTTTACTTATACGGGGCAGCAAATGGCCGTCTTTTGGATACATACCTTGATAATAACCATCACAATCAAACGCGCCATACGGACAACCAAGTTCCATGGTTCACGTCAGTGAAACGCGGAACGTGACCTTTCTTGACGAAAGCCACAAATTACACCGCGAACGTTGTAGTCTCAAAGTTCTACCGTCCTCGAATTCCTAGTTTCCCGTCTCTCTATCTCTCTGTTTGAACTCCTGTTCTTTATCGTCTTGTATCTATATACAAGGACTACTAGCATCTATATCTGACAAGAGGATGAGTAGAACGAGATTATAATACCGCATACTTACGTTTACACGTTCTTCACAGCGCCAGAGCACAAAGCAGTGCCACAACTTCAAGGCCGCAGTGCGTGTTTCATCCGCCCATCACACGCGCCTATATAGGAAAGGCCGGTATGATGCGGGTGCATATTTGAAGAGCTGGCACGCGAGGCCCCTGCTCAGCCGGATGCCTGTTCATCATCGTTATTGTCTTGTATCTC